TGGGCTGTGAGGAAGGGAGCACACAGGGCCCAGCCAGAGTCCTGCCTCTCTAGGTGATGATGGGTGTTACTTCACCTCTCTGGGACGCAGCTTCTGGGTCTATAAAATGAATGACCTGCACCCACTGCTCACTAGGATTCCCTGTGGCACTAAGCCATGATAACAGCCCAATTAAGAGGATAGGACTCAGTACCTGTGGCATTTTAAAAAATACCTGAATATTAATCAGCTTTTATTCCTCTCACTTGCTGCATAGACTATACCAAATGCTGAATGAAATGAAAACAAAAACGAGACAATCCTATGATGAAAAGGAGACATTCGTGCCTACCCCAGGGACTCAGCCTGTGTAGAAAAGTGGGCTATGGTACCCTAAGCGTAAGAAGGAGCATGCGCCCTATAACCAGGGCATTCTGCATTTCCTTATCAGTGAAAAACAAACTAATGTTTGAACTGTACAGACAGTTCCACGGTTCCATAATTGAATCTATTTGAGAAAAAGCAGAATCAAGTGTGTAACAACACATCAAAACTGACAAATACAAAAACAGCACTGGGTTGGAGAGACAATTCACAGCATTTTATTCAAGTTAATACATTTCCCTCAGTAATCTGCCACCACTAATATTACTGCCATTGTTACTCCTCCTTGGAGAGGACTATGCTTTTCACAAGTCCAGGTTGAATTCCCATACTGTTAAGCCTCATGGTCACAAATCTTTTTCCTTACTTTAGCAATCCCTTAATCACAAGAGAAACAGAGGGAGAGACAGACACTGCAGAAATTTATCTCCACTAGAAATAATCCATGGCTCACAGTCGTTCGGGGTTGTATTTTTACTTGGAGCTTTTGCTGGGGGAGGGGAGTTCTCAGAAACTTTTGCTTAACACAAATAACCTACCCCAGCCCACTGTACCACGGAAGGAGAATGAGGGCTGGTTTCCAGAAAAAAGGCACATGGCCCTGCAGGAAAATAGCCCTAAGGGCTCGCAGGGGTTGACAGCCATTCTACCAGGGAAGGGGACAGAGTGCACCACCCACCCCAGCAACCAGTCAGTAGTAATAAGGTATAACTAGGTGAATGGGAGAGGTAGTAACTAGCTGGGTAACCCAAGGGCTAGAATCTGCTAGAACAGGAATGTCTGTGTGTCTGA